ACAAGCCACTAAGCAAAGATAGATGTGCTTACTTCATTCATTGCACAACTGAGACTTTGAGACAAAGAATCTGTGAACTGCAGCCTAACTGTTCCCATGACATAGGCTGAGCACATGCCTGGTGAAGTCCTTGCTGCATTTCTCCACTGAACACATCACTCCTTCGTAAGGACAAGGTGAGGACTTCTTGGAGTAATAATCTGTAGAAGATTTCTATGGCACCTGACAATGTTTGCTTTTATTACTATTTATAATTTTAAAAGAACACTGTGGCTTTTTCTTTAGTGGTTTGGTTAGACTAAATGGAATTCTGTAGAACTTGCCATTTTGAAGGGTAATTAAGGGCACATGAAGGAGAGAATTGTCCAAATCATTCCCGCTGACCTTAAGAAAGAAGTCAGAGCTATGTAAATACCAGCCTTCAGTAGGATGTGGCAGCTCCTTGTTAATATACCAATGCTTGTAGACAGTCCCTTGAAAAGTTTAATGACTTTTATCTTGAAATCTGAGAAACACGTCATGCACATCTAATTTGGATTCACAAACACATTGATCAACAAACATCTGTAATCTAAGTGTTGAACATTTACTTTTTCACTTGCAGTTACTTATTTGCCTCTTTGTTTTCATATTTATTGTGTTCCTTTCTTCCTCCCTAAGAATGAAAATTGGCAGCTCATTAAAACTGGGAAATCAGAGGCGCTAAATGCAACAACAACCAGAAAGGAACAATTATCCATAGCAAACAAAGTGTTCTCTGAGAGCTGCATTACACAGTATAGAATGTTCGCTTCTGATCGGATTTTTTGCTGTCAACTTCCAGGCAAGCCATTAGCAGAAGAGGGAGGAGAAAGAAAGCAAAAGAGACCTCAAAGCACTTGGCTGGTTTTCCATAATGAGTTCCGTTCCCTTCCTGCCTGACTCTCCAATAACCACCAGCTGCAATAATGGGTTGAGAACCTGAGATTCCTCAGTCACTTGTGTTGCTCCACACAGTTGCATGAGGAAGGGCAGGATCCAAAGGCATGTTCATGATTTACTATGCACCACTGAAACCCTAGCTCCTAGTCAGGATTAAGTGTTTGTAGACTCAATCTGAATATGATTATGTGGTTTTGAGGGGTTACATTAAAATGATCCATTAAATGCCTTATTTATAAAGCATATTTTCCCTAACCAAGCTTTACAAAATTCATTGACTGTGTTGATCCATCTGGGAACCTCCCCCACCGGATTTGCATGCATTTGTTACAATCCATTCCTGTTTCTCACCTACTTCTCCCATTTAGCTCATCAATTATCCACTGTCACACTTCCTTGCCTGTCAAGATGCTTTGACTTGTGTCAACCTTGCCTGTGGCCAGTGGCCAGTCTCTAAGGTCATCCCTGTCCTCCTCCTTCTGAATCGTACAAAAAAGTGAACCTATGAATATTCTCCCAGTTACCTGGAGGCTGGGTCTACTCCTCTGGTCAGTCCTTTTTACCTCCAGTAGGCTGTTTAAGGATACGTGTTCTCTTATGTTCTCCACTGGAATGTTCTCAGACTTATCTACTGGCTTCAACATCTCTGATACCAAAGCTCAGGAGAATTTTTTGTCTTCCACTCTGTGCCTGGTTATTAACTTGGGGTTGCGTTTCTTTCTTTGCAGCAATGTGGCATTTGAAGCAATGGTAGCAGAAATGGCAATAGCATTCCACAGGCAAGGTCTGAGTAACATGCTCTGGTATTGAGGATATAGTGGTGAATTCTTTGATAAATGTAGTGAGGGTTAAAATAATCAGTGCCCATGAGCATCCCATGAGGCATGAAGTGCTTCAGAAAAATTGAGTTTCAGACACTATACTAAAGTGGATCTGAGTCAGTGACTACTGATCACATTGTTTGTGTCAATAAATTCTCTCAACAAGCCTTCTCCAGGCTGGTGGCCAGAGAAACACCTGCTATCATCACAGGTGCCATTGCACTGAAGCATGCTGTTCACAATTACATGGCCAAGTTTTAGGCAGAGCGCTCCTGCAAAAGTGACATTTTAATTGGACTTAAAATAATTCTACTCAAGAAATAATGCAGTAAGCTAAATTCTTCCTTTGGCACCTCTCCTTAAATCATATCTCTAAGCAAAACAACCTTGAAAAGGGGGAACAGAATTTGATGGCTAACCCATTCTGATTTCTTCAAATTACAAGCAGTAATTCTTATTATAAGCAGTAATCAGGACAATGTGGTTATGTCACAACAATAGACTCAGGGCCACAGACAACTCAGTAGAGAAAGAGTGTTCAACAAATGATGGTAGAACTGTTGGATTTCCATGAACAAATAAAAACAAAAAAAAAAAAAACAAAAAACCTTTTGTTCATACATTGTTTACCAAATAGTAAATAAAAGTGGTTCATACTTGTAAGTATAAAACACAAAACTGTGACAAACTTCTAGGAAAAAAATATAAGAGGAGCTGAGCATGGTGCCATGTGCTTATAATCTCTGCTTAGAAAGCCAAAGCAGGATCAAGAATTCAAGGCCAGCTTCAGCATCACAGTGAAATATTATCTCAAAAAAAACATTTTTTAATTAAATAAAAAACAAGAGAAAATTGTTGTGGACCTTAAGATAGGCAAGATAAAATATATTTCTGTTGTTTAAAACAACTTAGACAAGTTGTTGCATGTTCACACAATGGAATACTACTTAGCAAGAAAAGAAACAAACTATTGATATATGCAAAATATAGATGAATTTCAACCAACCCGATGGAGACTTCTGAAGCAAAGATTGCCTTTGGAGGAGTCTATTTGCATATCAGGTAGAAATAACCAGTTCCTGATAGTCCTGCCTGCTCATCACTGTCTGGATACTGCTTAGAGAGAGAGAGTACTGCTTAGATACAGCCCCAAACAAAGGACTAGGAGGGCAATGCAGGCCCTGTAGAAGAAGGCTATACCTGCACTCTGGGTGGCAGAACAGCAAGTTCTCTCTTACAGGGAGATCTGAGCAGCTCCCCTCCTCGCCTGCCACAGTATCAAACAGGAAGTGTATGCTTTCCTTACACAGCTCTGATGTGTGCAAAAAAGTTTCCAAAACTGTTTCTGAAAGGGTTGGAAAATTTACAATGTTGATAAAACATCATATATCTCAATGAAGTAGAAATGAGTAAATATATCTATCAGGCAAATTACCCCAACTATTGATCAGAGGATTGGAGAAAATCCACTTCTATAAGTATTTTTTCTCCTTTTAGAGAAGGAAAAACAAATGACCAAATGGTATACTGATCTTCTGCAAAAGATAACCCACCCTTTGAGATATATATATATTTTACCATGTCATAAATACACACACACACTCACATATATA